GGAGGGGGGCACGGGGCCAATGCCAGCCGATTTGGGGACATAGCAGGGGGTTAGGGGACATGCCACCGTCCCGGGCACCTCCCCGGCTCCTGCTTCACCCCAGTTCCTCCAAGGGCTGCAAATCCCCCAGGGAATAGGGGTACGCAGCACAACAGGGCTGGATGCGGCCGCATCCCCCTCCCTCCCCTCTTCCCCATCCCAGAATAAAATCCCTCTGGGAAGGGCCAGGCCCCCGGCCAGGCTTGGCCGGGCAGTATGGCACGATGCCCAGTGCCGGGGGGGGGGCCAAGCGAGGAGAGCAGATTGCGTGGCACCGCCAGCCGAGGCGAGGAGGCGGTTGGCACCGGACCGCAGCGGGCAGAGCCCCGGTGCCAGATTGCAGCCACCGGCTCCGGCCACCCCACGCCTGGGGCTGGGCACCCAGGGACACGTAGGATTTGTGGGGCCAAGGGGGACACGGGGCACCCCACGGCCACGGCAGCATCTCTGTCACCCCCCCCGGTAGCGCTGGGGCTTGGGGCTGTGCCCCCCACCCACCCAGGGCTGCCCGCTCTGCCCACCCGGCTGCCCCCCACCTCGTATCGCCCCCGCGCTTGGCATGCGTACGCGTGCACACCCATGTGTGTTCGGTGCACACGTGTACACACGCACGCTGCCTGTCCTGGCTGTGCACACGTGTGCACTCCGTGCAACCCTGCCCGCAGCTCCGTGCACGCGTGTGCGCGCACACGCACCCCCTAATATTCAGCGCCCGCAGGCTCTGACACACCCAGCACCCCAAAACCGCTCTCCCTTCGTGTGGGGTGCACGCGTGTCCCCCGCGCGATGTGTCCCTTGTCCCCAGGCCCACGGGGACACGTGTGCTGTCCCTCTCCAGCCCCACGTTGGGGGCAGAGCCCTCCAGCCTGGGGGAGCATCCCAGTTCAACCCCAGCTCTCTGAGTTGGGCACAGCACTGCTCAGTGAAACAAAGCAGGGTTGGGGTGTCCCGCCCCCCCCCCCCATTCCCCCTGTGCCCCCTGGCACCGGCGCTGGGCAGGGTCCTTCCACAGCTCAGCCCTGGTAATTAAAGTCTCCCACTTAATTGCAACTGGAGCTTTCATAGAGCAGGGCTGGCTCGGGGGGGGAGCCATGGGGACCCCAAGTCCGTGCACCCCAGCTGTGGCTGTTGGGGGGGGCGGCAGCCTCTGCCTGCAGCTGCTCGGTGCTGGATCAGGGAGGAGATGGATGTGGCTCCACGGCCATGGTGGGCACCTGTGGAGAGAAGAGGGCTGGAAGGCGGTGGTGGGTGGGAGGAGGGAGCAGCTGGGCACCAGCAGGGAGGAAGGCTCACCATCACCTTCACTGTGCCCACAGGCAGCCCTTCCATCCAGGGTGTGATGGACAAGTGACGGGCACTGCTGGATGGACCCTGGTGTGCTGGGCCCTGGCTATGCCAGTCCTGACTCAATCCCTGTTCCTGCCTGGTTCCTGCCCGTTCCTGCCTGCTTGGGTGTTGGGGGGG